CTTCATATCCATCTATATATGTCTGTCTATATCACTATGTTCGCGTCTGTCCTGATCTGTTCAGGGATGTTTAAATCCATTAAATCTACAGTGACTTACAAAGTGAAGCTTAGATATGGCACAAGGCCGAAAGTATGGTGCCCCCAGTGAGGATCGAACTCACTACTCAGTCGTAATTGATATAGCTCGTTAACCATTACACCACCTCAAAGTGCGCAGCCCGTTTAATCTGTATCTCTATATAGATCTCTATCTGTCCGTATCTATCAGAATTGGGTCATTCACTATCTATTCACAGATTTTATTAAGCAAGTCAATTTTTTCACAATAAAATTTGTATTAAACAAATATTGTTGGTAACATTTCCAGGATATAATTATATTTGCATAATATATATATATATATATATATATATATATATATATATATAAGAGAAAGAGGTTGTAGTGGTTCCAATGAGAGAAAAGTATGTATATTTAAAAAGAAGAGAAGAGAGGTGCAGCAAACGTTTTTTGGTTGTAATGTGGCTTTTTTAGAAAAAATATTATGCTTTATTTTCCATAATTTTACTACACGAGTTTCTGGTCTCTTGACCGTCTTCAGGTAAAAGCGGAGATTTCACATATTATTAAAAAAAATAATCAATTTTTCCTTATATTTTTTCAATGTTAAATATTCTCGATATGAGACATTCTCTGTTTTTTGTGTTAGTAATCCGAATGTCTTTCTTGAATTGGCAATGAAGAGTTCTGCGCGAAGGGTCATAAAACAATTAAGGTTAGTCTAAGAGAAATGATGAAAACTTATCTGCATTTTATCTTTTAATGTTTTACTGACCCTGTGCGTTCTTAGATCTGTTTCCATTTTCGCGTGTTTCTGTCAGCATGCGTGTATATATGCATGCGTATATACACGCATGCCCACCAAACACATACTGTCTTACTACGAGGAATTAGTAAACTCATTTGTACACATACACACATACACACATACATACACATACGCACATACACACCGTCCCACCACAAGGAATCAGTACACACACACACACACACACACACACATATATATATATATATATATATATATATATATATATATTCCTTTAGCAGTTTTTCTCCTTTCGCTAAGGACCCCTCCCTCCGTTATACCACCAATTTACACAAGCTCGTCGAGTTAGTGGCTTGCTACCTTCCTCTATCTGTCTTGCTCTCAGTACGACTCAAGCGAATTAATTTTTGCAAGCCCTCCTTTCTAATATGTTCTGGAAAGGGATATATTTGAACGAAGTAGCTAAGTGGTTTTGGCTACTATAATCAAGTAGAATACGGTAGCAGTCATCGACTGGTACGTGTCGTAGTCGCAGCTAAGAAGTGTAGATCAATGGCGTAGTCCAATGGGCGTCGTTATAGACTTAGCACTCAGACTAAGGGACTGGCTCTCCTACACGTCCGTCGGTATTTATGACGGACACCAGCCAACCATATTCCAGTGAGGTGGAACACAGGTGTACGCATATTCCATTATATCACTTTCTCTTTATGTATCCACGGAATTGCAGTTGTCTTCCTTAGTAGAAGTGTTCGTTGTCATTTTCGTTATGACTTTCTCGTTGTTTGAAATTCTCAGTATGCTTCTGTCGATCCACATTTCTGCTGTTTTTTTTTCCTCTTCCTTGGGGAATTTCTCAAACATCCACAGCCATATAAGAGGACAGATGCCACATTTACTATCCTTGTTTCTTAAGATTTTATCCCTTTCTCGGCATCTTGCTTAGGCTTTGGAAGGTCTTTTTCGCTCGTCCAATACATGTTGGGACCCCCGTGTTGCATTTTCTTTCCCATGTTCAAACACACCCCATATATTGGAATTTCTACACCTGCTTCATGCTGACATCTCCAATTCCCAACTCGCATCTTCAACTTATTTCTCATGCTAAAAACTTAAATATTTTGTACCCAATTTTATTTATTTATGTATTATTTTTTTTTAGATAATTCTTGTTTAGTGGTAGAAATCTTACTAATTAACCCATAGATGGAAGGAGAAAATGTGGATTCATATCTTTCCCAATAGTATTTTCGCTTAAGTGAATATAACGAACCCGACTAGAATTAGAACTCGTCTCTCCAATTAACTATCCGAGCCATTATCCATTACGCCACCCGCACATCGTAGCATACACCAACTGATATTCCCAAGCGGTCATCCATCTAGGTAATGGTCAGATTCGACGTTGTGATCGGTGACTGTACGGGAACCAGTGTTTCAACGTGATGCGGCCGTAAGCCAGTTGGGATAAAAGTTGGCTCCTCTGAAGAAATAGTCAATTAACAAGACTTAGAAGACAGTAGAAAGAACGTGAATTAATGTTTTGGAGTGGTTTTATAGATAAGTAAACATAAAAATCATTTTAACATCGATAATTGTGCCAAGGTATATGCAGAAAATTATTATAAATTCTTGAACAAGTTGTTTTGATTTTGTTAGGTCACTAAGAGGAAGCTTCACGCAAGAGTATATACATGCACGTCTACAGAGCCCGAGATTCGAGCAAGCTAAGTATTAATCACTTTGTAAAAAGAAAAAAAAAAAAGTAAACTTCAAAGACAACAACAAATGGTCCCGAACCTCTCCAGATTGGAACTCAATAGAAAACTCATCATGAAAAGACATTTTTTATGTGAAGATAAAACTAAAATCAAGCATAGAATATCATAGAAGGAATAAAATCACAAAAAATCATTTTAAAATCAAAACAATACAAAAGCACTCGTACTTACGCAGACATATATACACACATGTTTACTCATTGATGTATGCAGACATACATACACGCACGTTCACTCATTGGAACTCACACAAACATAAACATATGTGAACAGTGTGGGACCCGGTATATATGCACATTCATGTGTCGTTGCGTAAATATGTACGCATTTGGTTGCTGTATTCAATGTTGCAATGTGTGGCGAATATCTTTCGTCAGTTGATGTATCAACGCGCAGACCGCTCGTCTATTTTGTTCGCTGAATAATCTTTTCTCGCACATACGTATATACGTATGCACACGCGTTCATACATCTTTATCTCTCTATATATATATATATTATATATATATATATATATTTATATATATATATATTATATATATATATATATATATTTATATTATATATATATATATTATATATATATTAAATATATATATATATTATAAATTAACTGATTTAAAATATGTTTTTTTTCGCTACACAGTTCTAACCATGTTTCAAAAATGAAGCTAAAAGCTTGAATTTAATTTTGTAATTAAATTAAAGACATTAGTTCCATTTCATCCTCCAGCGAAAGTTAAAACTTACACAATATATTGGTTGCATAAATATAGGGTTGATTAATACGAAATTTACAATTAAAACATTGACAGGCATAATAAAACCTCATATAATATATATATATATATATATATATATATATATATATATAATATATTACATTATTGCAAGACTCCTAGTTTCATACCGAAACAATTGTTAAGTGCTGGAATTATTATTTTTATTTTTATTTTGGGTTGTCAAAAGTAAAAATATAATTCCAGCACTTGACAATTGCTTCGGAATGAAACTCGGAGTTGTACAATTAATGTAAAGTATTATGTATGTTTCTTAATATATATATTAAATAGCTCTATTATTTAACATTGACCACTGTTTTTTCTTACATTATAGCATACGATCGCTTGCTCGTATACCTACCTATATTTACTCATTCGGTTATATATATATATATATATATATATATATATAAAGAAAAAACAATCAGATTAATAAACCTCAGTTCTTTTACATTTATTCTTTTTTAAAGTACTCGATACAAAGTAGAGCATAATATTATAATATTATTATTTAAAAATATGTTTTCATTGCGATACAGAAATTACTATGCATTTTTTTAATTTTTTTTGCAAATACATTTAGAGCTTTCTTAAAAGGGCTTTAAATATGATTAAATCATATTTTATATTTACATTTTTAATTGGTCAATTTATGGGATCCCTACAGTTACATAATTTTTCATTACTACTATTTATTCTCATCTCGGAACCACTATTTTTTTTTATTCTGGTTTAAGTATTGATTTAAAATTTTATTATTGTGTTTTTCTATAATTTTTTCTAAATTTTTTGTACAACTATAACCTAATTTTAGGGTATTTTTATTGAAACTTTCTACTGAGTGATAAGTGTCTTGCAGAATCTATAGTTTAGAAGTGTACTCTTTCATCTGTTGAAAATACAGATATTAAAAATGTTTATATTGGTAGCACTAAAAATGATGTTCCTTCAAACACAATAAATATTGTAACCAAACATCCCTATCTAAATGCTTTTGGCATTTAAAAGAAACAAAAAAACACAGTAAAATGAAAATTAATTAAAAATGAAAACTTGTAGGTCTTTAAATAATACATGTCCATTGTTTCTACATGAAAAATTATATATTATTAACTTTTTTTAAAATAAAGATTTATTAAATCAACGAAAACAAATAACTGTTTTTGTATGCATTGCATTAGGTTCTCTTTAAAATATAAAAAAAAATTTCATAATTATATATCTATTATTTAATTACAATTTAAAAATATGTACTTAATTCCTAAATTTTAAATTTTAATATTAAGTTTATCAATGCTATATCTTATGTACCATTATATATAATGAATATAGCATTTTAGATATTTATAATTAAAAATATAAATATAAAATAAGTTTTTACTGCACAAGCTGCAAAGGGAAGCGTCCAAAGTGCTCAGTGTTCTTTATCCATCATCTCTCTCTCATAGCATCATGTGCTGTACTGGTGAACTGTATGCCACATGTCAGAAGATGCTACAATTGTAGGCTTTTTGCTACCATTTAGAAATAAAGGAAGCCAGACAAGAAAGAAAGGAAGAAATCCAAAAAGAAAGAAAGAAAGAAAGTCAGATAATAAAGAAAAAAGCTAAACAAAAAAGAAAGAAAGCCAAACAAGAAATAGAGAAAGAAACAAAGAAAGAATGCTGACAAGAAAGAAACAAAGAAAGAATGCCTGACAAGAAAGAAACAAAGAAAGAATGCTGACAAGAAAGAAACAAAGAAAGAAAGCCTGACAAGAAAGAAACAAAGAAAGAATGCCTGACAAGAAAGAAACAAAGAAAGAATGCCTGACAAGAAAGAAACAAAGAAAGAATGCCTGACAAGAAAGAAACAAAGAAAGAATGCCTGACAAGAAAGAAACAAAGAAAGAATGCCTGACAAGAAAGAAACAAAGAAAGAATGCCTGACAAGAAAGAAACAAAGAAAGAATGCTGACAAGAAAGAAATAAAGAAAGAATGCCTGACAAGAAAGAAACAAAGAAAGAATGCCTGACAAGAAAGAAACAAAGAAAGAAAGCCTGACAAGAAAGAAACAAAGAAAGAATGCCTGACAAGAAAGAAAACAAAGAAAAAGAAAAAACAAAGAAAGAAAGCCTGACAAGAAAGAAACAAAGAAAGAATGCTGACAAGAAAGAAATAAAGAAAGAATGCCTGACAAGAAAGAAACAAAGAAAGAATGCCTGACAAGAAAGAAAGCCAAAGAAGAAAAACAGAAAGAATGCCAGAAAATAAACAAAGAAAATCAGAGAGCTAAAAAATGACAGAAATGAAAGAAATAATAATACATTATGCCAGATATTATGCAAATCGATATTTTCCCAATAAAATTGGCATTAACCATTTCTAAATTTATTCATTTAATATGATGAATATTTTATGTTAATTTCACCTTATGATATCTATATTTATTAGAAATATTTACAATTAATTATTTACTGGTACCAGATTCTAGAATGTGATTCACGGTTTCTTTATAAAATTATAAATAAATATATGGCGTTTCGGTTATCGGCATGATAAATAGGACCGGTATGCCGTGTTCAATTTTTGACCGACGTCGTAGCATTTACTTTCACACATTCTGTTGAGAAAGGTATGAATCCATCTCTTCTATTCCTATCTAGGGGTTAAATATCTGGACAAATTAGGTTATCTAGCCTATATTGGAAATCAGTCTAGAAAAAGAACAACTATGAATTTAAAACCTTCGCTGTTTTGAAGCTAGACTCATGTGACGGTGCTGAAAGCATGGGTATTGGCACTTACCTTTCGAATGGATCATTTCAGTGATGGACTCCCAGATAAAAATATTGTCCCCCATATCTACCTACCCAGGCCTTGTACGTTGAAGCGGCAGAAGCTCCAACAGACGCCGTGACTGACAAATCATCCAGAGCACAACCCCATAATCACCCGAAACGGTAAGATGCCTAGGATATATAAAAAGTATAATTAGCGGTATTTATTTAATTTTCCAAACTTACATAAGCATTAAGGAACAGGAAAAAAATAGTTAGAAACAAAAAAAAGAGCACTGAACTGTTAAGCAATATTAGTCCTTCTACATGGCAGTGAATGCTGGAAAATCTCCCCACATCTTGCAAAAGAAATATGGTTATACAGAAGGATGCTGAGGATATTATGGACAGAGAGCGACAGTAAAGTTTAAGGAAAATGGACCCAAAAGGGATAAAAACATACTATCAAAAGGAGACAATTGAAATTTCTAGAGAACATCATGAGAAAAGAAGGCTTAGAAAATGTGACACACACAGGACATATTGAAGGCAAGCGGGACACAGGAACACAGCACATAGGGTACATAACGAGCTTGTGCAAATGGTTGGCGGAACAGGGATTAGGAGAGATAGCAAAAAGATAAAATGTTAATAAAAGCTACAAAGAACAGAAAATTGTGGAGAGCCGTGATCGCCAACGTCCTGAAGGGACACGGTACAAGAAGAAGAAGAAGAAGAAGAAGAAGAAGAAGAAGAAGAAGAAGAAGAAGAAGAAGAAGCTTTAACACGTACACTGGGGGTAAGAACGAGAATAGGCAAATTATGTTGTACTAATTACTCAGTTTGCTTATATCTTACAGAACTGTGAAAATCAGCATTCGGAATTCTTGTCTATTTACACCGGTTCGAACACTGGTTAGTTGTGCCAACGGATAAGATGGGACTATCATAGATACGTCTGTGAGCTGGCGTAAAAGGTGAGTGAGATGTGGAGCGAGGGGGCGCCGAGAAGAAGGGGGGAATCTAAATTAAGCACCTTCTTTCGCTTTAATGGCGATGAGAATCGGATATCCAGTTTGTCAGTGTGATGGCATGATGGGCTGGTAAACGGGATGCAAGATAGCAATATAATCGAACTCATCAATCAAGCCATCAGTCACTCAGTAGATTAATCGATCAATCATGATGAAAGTAAAGAATAAAGAAACCCGAAAAATAGGAAGAGAGACAAAATAATAATAATAATAATAATAATAATAATAATAAAGAGAGATTTTAAAAAAAAGCAAAGATTGGTGAGGAAATAAATTAATCTGAATGCGAGTGAGGGAAAGATGGAACCGAAAGGTAAAACAGTAGATTTGAGAAACGAAGACAACGGAAAGAAAGAAAGAAAGAAAGAAAGAAAGAAAGAAAGAAAGAAAGAAAGAAAAGGACGATAAAAAACAGAAATTAGTGTGTATAGATAGATAGATAGATAGATAGATAGATAGATAGATAGATAGATAGGAATATATTTAGCAAATAAATTATCTAAATATTTAGCAACATAGATAGATTGGAATATATTTAGCAAGAGAATTAAATAGATAGATAGACAGATAGATAGATAGATAGATAGATAGATAGATAGACACACACACACACACACATACATATATATATATATATATATATATATATATATATATATGAAACAAAGTGAAAAATATATAAATGACAAATTTTGCCGAGGGCGTCAGCTCTCTCTCTCTCTCTCTCTCTCTCTCTCTCTCTCTCTCTCTCTCTCTCTCTCTGGCTTCTTCAGGTTTGAATGAAAGAAAGACAAAACTGTATACAAGGAAAAATGTGGATGTAGTGATGAAAAATTCCGAGGTTGGCTCATTAACTAAGATTCTGTTAAATTGGTAAGGCTGAGACCTTTCATCTATGTGTATTCGGGTAGAAAGAAAGAAAGAAAGAAAGAAAGAAAGAAAGAAAGAACAGGGAATATAAAAATGAAAGAGAATGGAAATCGAAAAATAGCAAGAAAGATTGGAAAAAGTAAAAGGGGATAGAGGAATAAAGGAAATAAGGGATAGAAGAAAAAGACAGAGAAAAAGAAAAAAAGGAAGGTAAAAGAATAAAAAGGAAAGAAAACGGGAATAGAAGAAATAAATAAATAAACAATATAATGAAGAAAAATCGGAAAATGAAAAGAAGAAAAATGAAAGAATAAAATTGAAAAAAGCGAAATGGAAGCGAAAAGAAATGACAGACAGAAAGAAAAAAGAAAGAAAGAAAGAAAGAAAGAAAGAAAGAAAAATTAGAAAAAATGAATAAAAATAAAATAGAATAATGGACGAAAGCAGGAATGAAAGAAAAAAACACATTATTGAAAAAGAAAAAGGCAATGAAATATGGTGAAATAAAAAAAATTCAGAATAATAAGTAAGATTAAAATCCTCATGACTACTATGATGTAAATTATTTCTATTCACAATAAAACTTATTTTACCCAATGTTATTAACCGATGTTGATAAAATATTCAGGATATAATTATTTTATATGATAAATGTGTTTTGTGAAATTCAAATAATATTTGTTTTATTCCTCATATTTACAGTAACGTATTTGGTTGGGTCAGATTTTATCATGTAATTCAAGGAGTGTTCATATTCTAAATAAATGATAATATACAACAATTTATGGGAGAAAATTATATATCAGTCTTTATATACAAGAACAATGTTAGGAAAGGTAAAGGATTTTTAAAGATATGGTTCTACAGAAGGATGCTGAGGATATTATGAACAGAGGGCGACTGCGAAGTTTAAGGAAAATGGCCCCAAAAGGGATAAAAACATATTGTTTCTGTTTCGTAAGTGAACTCTTCGACTTTGTTTATTGTATATACAAGGATTATTGTAATTTTTACAGGGATATATTAATGGAGATTCATCAGTAGAATAGAAGTATGTTGATATTTTTTTTTTTTGGCAATGTATCTCTCTTTAACCCACTGATTTGGTTCTTTACGAATCCAAATAGCGAATTTCAAACCAAAGCTGACGGCTTCCAGTTCGGTATTAGATAGCTTTATATCTGATAGATTACCTATTAGATCTGATCTTCCAGCAATATTTCTTCTCACATTGTTTCTTTTTTCGTTTATATATATATATATATATATATATATATATATATATATATATATAATTATTTATTTCGGGATATTAAAACAAAAACATGTTAAAAATCGCTACACACATTAAATTAAATGTTTCTCCATTTATTCTCATTTTACCTGAATATATACGAGCAAAGAAAGGGATAAGGAAAACAGAAAGAAAGTAGATAGAAAGAAACAAACAAACAAGCAAACGAAGAGAAACTAATAAAAAAATGCTAAGAGAAAATTACATTAAAAAAAATGGGGATGAGAAAAAGAAAGAATAAAAAAGTAGAGAGAGAAAGAGAGAGAGAGAGAGAGGAAGAGAAAAGTCAAGCAAGAATTTTAAAAAAAGAAAAAGAAAGAAAAGCGAATGAAAGAAATGAGCAAATAAACAAAAGATATCAAAGAATTAAAAAGGAAATAGATAGATAGATAGATAGATAGATAGATAGATAGATAGATAGATAGATAGATAGATAGATTAAAAACGAAAAAAGAAACAATGTGAGAAGAAATATTGCTGGAAGATCAGATCTAATAGGGAATCTATCAGATATAAAGCTATCTAATACCGAACTGGAAGCCGTCAGCTTTGGTTTGAAATTCGCTATTTGGATTCGTAAAGAAGATCTAGTTGACACAGTAGTTAAAAATCATGGACAAAATGAAACAGAATGCACCAAAGGTTTCATTCAAGAAAAAATCACTGCCACTCTAGAAACCAACGATGAAAAAAAAAATTATCACAGTCAGAAAAATGCACTAAAGAAGGAACCTAGCAAAAATAAGGTAATTCAATTTAACTCCTCGGACAAGGTAGGTTGGATTGTTACCATGAATAAGAACACACACACACACACACACACACACATATATATATATATATATATATATATATATATATATATATATATATATATATATTTATTTATGTGTGTGTGTGATGCAGTTTAACAAAAAATGCATTACTCCACTAACCACACGATGAATGTTATGATCCTTGTTTCTTAAAAATTCTAAACTGCATTAGGTCTTCCTTAAATATGCAAGTACTTTCAACAGGTTATCCATTTATCATCAGGACATGGAAACTATTTCAACTTTACTAATTTACTTTTGTATAAATGATTTTGTATATATATATATATATATATATATATATATATATATATATATATATATATATATATATACCAACACTGAATATGGCATTGTTTTAATGTCGAAACTACTCGGAATAAAACAATATGTATCAAAATGGTAATGTTCTCTCTTCTTTGAATGCCGACACCAGAAAGCTCATCCAAGAATATAAACGGATACTGCTGAAGATAAATAGAAAAAAATTGTCTAAATTATTCAAATGAACTTGCCAATATATATATATATATATATATATTGGCAAATTCATTTGAATAATGTCTATTTTTTGTCTATTTATCTTCAACAGTATCCGTTTATATTCTTGGATGAGTTTTCTGGTGTCGGCCACACTGATGAGCTGTGATACAGCGAAACAGTCTGTCTGTGGATGACAATATATATGCTCCTGAGAAATTTATCTCGGTTGAGCTCTCTGGGGAGGAAGTGTGAGTTTGTAAACAGTGACTATTACTGCCAATAACGCAAGACTCTTCGGTAAATCGAATTGAGTTCTCTCCGTCCCTGGATGTTTATCTAAAAATAAATACACTTAAAATTCACCTTCAACCCTGCCGTGCGTCAACGGTTTAGTGGTAGAATGCCCGACTGACGCCAATTCAATCGGGTTTCGATCCTAGCTAGAGGCAACCGGATGTCTAGCCACACTGATGAGCTGTGATACAGCGAAACAGTCTGTGGATGATAATATATATATTGGGCGAATGTGGGAAATATATTTTCAGTTACACAGGATTTTTAAGATTTGTTTTATTTAGTTTTTCTTCACTTTGGATCGTTTTTTTTTGTTTTTTTTTCTGATTTCCAAAGAAGATTTGAATATAAATTGTTCAATTTTGACTCCGCACTTCCGGTGTTCATAGCGTTTTACTAAGCGCAGCTTAGATGTGACGTAAGGCCGAATTTATTGGAGCACCCACTGAGGATCGTACTCACTACTCAGTCGTAATGGATCTAGCGAGACAATCTTGCTATGACACCACGTCGAACTGACCAACTTTCGGCGAAGCGTCGAAGACACATTGAAAATTACGGTCGAAAACAGAGGAAGAAAAAGCTACTGGAAAACCTTTCAAGCGACCTTTTTTTTTTCAATCAACACTTAACAAAGAGGATGTTTGATAAATTTCATTAGGACTTTTCTTTCTTCTAGTGTGGTAGACATTTAGTCTCAGATTGTTTGTTGAAGAAAGGCGAACGTTTTTAACGACCAAATCAGTTACGTTTCTTATTTTTCAACCGCTCGTTTATTTGCTTTAGTCTTCGGGTACTTTTTTTAAAACATTTTTTGATAGTATAGTTTCAGTAAATTCCATAAGGCTTTATATATCGTGGAGAACGGCTTCTTGATCGGGAAAAAATGTTCAGTATCCTTTGTGGTTCGAATGAATAAATTGTCGTCTAAATTACGCCAAAATAAAAATGTCACTGACATCTCATTTTAAGAGATATATTTACCGGAATTACATAAAAACATGTTGAAATATTAAACAGTAAATTTATTCAATAAAATCACCATTCGCTTCAACTGCAACCTCCAGATGAATTTTGAACCCCCTGCATCTCTTCTGGGCGGTTTCCTTGTTTACGTTGTTGAATGCTACCGTAATCTTTGGTGTTACGAGGAGATTTGTTGGCCTCTCGCTCAAATGCATCCCACACATAATAATCAAGGGGGTTGCCGCCTATGGAGTCAGGTGGCTTTCCTTTTGAGTTTGAGACCTCCACCAAAAAATTCGAAAGTTCTTTTCTTATCAGAACGATCAAAGTGAGTTTTCCAAATTGCCGTACCTTCGTAATCACCATTAGACTCATCAAAGTCTTTCCGAACCCTCGGCACTGTTCTCAGATTGATACCCAAACACTCTGTTTGTATTGGAGCTTTCGGAGCGAATTCAAAGTAGTACATCATGCCGCTTCCAAATTTCTGGCGGAGTAAATTGCGTCATGGTGCTGATTTTCTCACAGACGGTGCCCAACTGACCCTACTATGCTGTGCAGTCGACAAAATAAAATAAAAAAAAACAACTCACATGCGCGAAATTAAATTTGTAAAATGAGGACAATTTATTCATAACACCTTGTTTATACGTGTGTGGGGTGTGCAAGTTTATGCAAGCAATAAAAATATGTCTGTCTATTTTAAAGTAATTACTATTATTAGAAGTTTTTTAACAGATTACTAGTTTAGTGCAGGGTTTCCCAACCTGAGCGATATCGCCCACCGGTTGTTGATTACAACTGTTGGGTGGTTTATCTGCAACTGAACAGAAAATGGTGGTCGACGGGAAATGTTGGTAGGCGATATAGGATTTTGAGTATTTAAAAAGGAATTCAACAT